AGAGTTACGTCACCAAGTGTTAGAAAACCATTTGTTAGAAAATCACCAAGAGTTACGTCACCAAGTGTTAGAAAATCACGAAGAGTTACGGCACCAAGTGTTAGAAAATCTAGAAGAGTTGCGTCACCAAGTGTTAGAAAATCTAGAAGAGTTGCGTCACCAAGTGTTAGAAAATCACGAAGAGTTACGTCACCAAGTGTTAGAAAATCTCGAAGAGTTACGTCACCAAGTGTTAGAAAATCACGAAGAGTTACGTCACCAAGTGTTAGGTCACCATTTGTTAGAAAATCACCAAGAGTGACGTCACCAAGTGTTAGAAAATCACCAAGAGTTACGTCACCAAGTGTTAGAAAATCTCGAAGAGTTATGTCACCAAGCGTTAGAAAATCACGAAGAGTTACGTCACCAAGTGTTAGAAAATCTTGAAGAGTTACGTCACCAAGTGTTAGAAAATCACCAAGAGTTACGTCACCAAGTGTTTGAAAATCACCAGTTGCAAGAAATATTTCTTATGCAACAAAGTCTGCAGGTCTTGGGAAATCACTTTTTGAAAATGATCCTAAAATTTCCAGTACCAGTGCACGTGGTACAGAAACAGGTATTTCACCTGGTGATAAAGTGTCGATTTCGTCAAAGCTGAATGAAGTCCTCGGCACTGGAATTCTGTTGTTGGATAAAACAGATAATAGTCGTGTATTTGGGGAAGTAGTTGTGACATCAAAATCAAAAGAATTGACAAATGTTTACCAGTCTGATCTTGAACTACATGAACAAACAAAGTGAAGTGCCACATCCAAATTTGATCGTGTGAAGCCTCTTAAACTTAAGAAAAGTTCCCATGGTACAGGCAAGGAAAGAAAGAAGCAAGATACTATTACTATCGGCAGAAAGAAAATACCAGGATTTGGACAGAGTGGAACTGATCAATAAACTAACGACAATACTGATATGGAAAGAAATGAAAAAGTTGTTTTGATGGAATGGGATGGTGGGGAAATGTATGTGGGTCTCAGGCTGAAAGAGGAAGACAAAGTTATTAGCTGTAAACAACCAATATGCAGAATTACTGATTTTGAGGGTTTGTGTTACAGGATGTTTTGCATGAACAATTTAGATTGCAAAATGCTTGAACTCAATCATCGTGACGTACAAAATCATCCAGATAAAGATTTCTTAGTTTGGATGCCACCTCTTTCATCATGCGAGGTTATGGGCAAGAAGTGTTTCACAATCCAAATACAAGGACAAAATCATGCTAAGTTCATTAAAGATGTGTGCAAGGCCGTTGAGTGTTATTTGGTTTAGTAATATATTAGCCTATTACCAAATTAAACCATAGATATCATCTTGGTATATTTTACCTGCTATCATATTGACGATATAGATTTAAACACTGACTCATGAGTATGCACTGTTTATAACTGTGTTTTTTTTCTCTCTCTGTATTTAGGGTAAATCAATGGCTGACTTGTGACCTTGCCTTTTTAATTTCTAAAATTATGTGATGAAGCAAAATGTTTTGCTCAACGTCTTCTGATGTTTATGGGCTGCACATGCAGTTCAAATCACTTTTCTTTGTGATCAGTTGTCTATTTTCTGTCCTTACCAAGGTTTAAAAATTACTTTTTCTTATAGCACTGAACAGATTTTCTAAAATTTGAAAATGTACGAAAATGGGTTATGTAGTCCGGACGGATGGGAGCAGGACTCCATACGTGATACCTGTGGAATTCAAGATTTTTGGAAATTTACGTGCGTACAAGATACGTTCACGTAATACGTATTCAAAATCCGGTTGGATTCTTTCAACAGGAATACGTTTATCATAAAAATATGTATGGATCTGGCACATATTTTCTCCATGGTAGCAAGATTTTTGAGTATGGAGAAGTTAGTCAGTACAGATTATTGAACTTTGTCATTTCTAAGACTGAAAGCTTCTGGATTTTTGTACTTAGAAATTTATCTACATGGATTTTCTTCATAGCAGCAGGATTTTTGGACAGTGAATTTCAGCAGTATGGATTTTTGGACTTTGTCATTTCGAAGACTGAAAGCTTCAGGATTCTATGATATCCATACATATTTTTCAATAAACACAAAATTTATAAATTTTCAAACTAAATGCAAAATAGGTCATGATGCATCAAAGTTCTACAGTGCACATATAAACCTGGTAATTAGTTTGTAATTTGAACTTATTTTGCAATATGAACAGCTAGCACATAAAACTTCTTTCAAAATAAATTTCCTTTTATTCTTTAATATACACAAGTATAAATAAATTATATACATAAAATGATCTTCAATGGGACTGTGATCATCATGATGAATGCTGAACTTATATTAGGCCTACTGTTTTCATATGAACAATTTGTATGACATTGAAAGTATCAAATTATTTCATGACCGATAAGTCATTTCCTATATAAAATATTGCTTAACTAAAGCTTTCATTTATGTGATTTTTTTAAAAATATCTGCTTGTCAAATATCTTGTTTGTGTATAAAATGTACATACATATCATTTCTATTCATACACATGTATCATTTATGTCGTTACGCAAAAGCATTTAATCACATTCTTGTCTATTTGGAATCTCACAAATATAGGATAAATTTGCATCCTGAATTTTGATCAACAGACAAGAGTCAAGGATGTCTTTGACATTAATAACATGGACTGTTTTAGTACATCTAACTTGAATGATTGGTGAGGTTTTTGCCAATGCAGGATGCACAAAGGAAAGGCTTTCTATAAATGCAATGTATGTTGTCGACTCATCTGATGTTATCTCCGAGAAAAATCTAACAAGTCCATATCTGTCAGCACCATGTGCATCTTCTCTGGTACATATTTTTAACAGCAGCATTATTTCGCTTAATCATTCCTAAATATTCAAGGCCATAAACAAAATATCCATTGATCTCTACACGCAAAAATGAATTCAGAGAATCCACTAAGGGACATAATCCTAAGAATTCTGACAGTGCATTATATTCTTCATTTTTCATTTTTTTTCTGAAAATTCCTCCTAACAAATACATGTTTTTATCAATTTTGAGTCCCCTCTTCACACAGTTTCTCGACTCCAAGATTTTATAGAGAGCTTCAATTTCTGATCCTTTTGGAACACAAGTTTGTTTGAGTTCTGGCAGATTCTGTATGAAGGAGACTCCTGTCAGAATTTGACTGTCAATGTTTTGAGTTCCACGTATCATTCTTAAAGCAAATCCATTTCTATCCTCAAATGAAAAACAACTATGGGTATAAAGGGGTCCCAGATCACGTACACTATCTGCTAAATGAGTCAATTGATGTATATTAAGAGTCATGTAACACTTATCATACAAAAGTCCAAATCTTTGAACAAATAAATGTAATGCTTGCTCAGCTTTGTTGACAGCATTTTCGGAGGAACCGCACTTTAATAATGTGTGTATAGAATTCACAAACAGGAGATAATGTTCAAAGTGTTCCTTTCCCAGAATACCAAAGAGAACTGGTGCACCAATAAAACAGAAGGAATGCTCGATATTCCGAGGCTTTCCAATACTTCAAGTCTTGTGAAATAGACCTAGGAAGACGTGTAATAAAAAGAGTAGGCTGTATCTTAATCAATCTTTCATCTGCTCTTCGTACATCCCTGCGATAACTAAATGCCTTGTTAGAATGTTGTTGTGAAAACCAGAGAGTCAAGAGAAGTTTTTGCACTCCTAACAAAACACCGTGCATATAGTCGATAGCTATTCCTTTCACCATGTCAAACTTTGGAACCAACAGCAGCCATGAAGGTCCTTTCACGCCATTTTTGTTCACTTTTTTATTTCCATTCTTCTGAAGTTCAACCGCTATCTTGCTATCATTTAAAACGCTTTCATTTGTTCTAGCAGGACCTTTTGGATCCACTGCTTGAAATGGAAATATATGTGTCTGACCCTTTCCAACTTCGGCTGTTTCTCCTCGTTGTAGACATTTCCAACAACTGTAAGCTCCATTATATTGTACAGAATTACACATTATACTTCTTGCAGGTAGATCCGTTGTTCCCGCCAAAAGAAAAGCCTTACAATGGGAGTCTCCCCTTTCTGGAGATGTACAAGGAAATCCATCATTTAAAGTTTTTAACATATTTGACCCCTGTGACCTTGAATATGGGTGAAGGTAATTTATTTGAACAAACTTTGTAGCCCTTTATCTCAGCATGCTACAGGCCGAATATCATCACCATGGGCATTTTGGTTATTGAGAAGAAGTT